ATATATGGGGGGCTGTATGTGTGTGTTAAGATTAGTTTCTTAACATTTTTTTAAATAAATTAAGAATATAGATTGATAATGCGGGCAGCACGGTGGCGGAACTGGTAGAGCTGCTGCCTCTCAGGGAGAAGGTTACTGGTTCAAATCCCGGTCCGGGGGCCTTTCTGGGTGGAGTTTGCATGTTCTCTCCGTGAATGCGTGGGTTTTCTCCGTGTACTCCGGTTTCCTCCCACAGACCAAAAATATGCATGTTAGACTGATTGGTAACTCTAAATTGTCTCTAGGTGTGAGTGAGAGAGTGAATGGTTGTTTGTCTCGTTTGTCTCTATGTGGTCCTGTGATGGACTGGAGACCTGTCCAGGGTGTACCCCGCCCCTCGCACAGTGATTGCTGGACATGGGCACCAGCAACCCCCGTGACCCAAAATGGAATAAGCGGGTAAAGATAATGGATGGATGGATGGATGGTAAAGATAATGGATGGATTATTATATATAATGTTTATATTTATCAGTGCTATGACTTGATGATAAAAACTGTCTCAGTCTGATGGTCTGAACTCAGCACCCAAAATCTCCTGCCAGAGAGCAGCAACTCAAATTCTGATGTACAGAGCGTATGCTGTCCCTCAGAATGCTTGTGCCCTTCAGAGTCAGCATGTTTTGTACATGTCTTCCAGGAAGGAAAGAGGATGATAGACTATTTTTGGGCTGTGGTAATGATCCTTTGCAGTGCCATCTTGTGTGCCATGGTGCAGCTGAAAACCCACTTAGAGATGTAATATCAGCACACTTTCAGTGGATCAGCAGCTTTCACTTCAAGCTGATCTTTTGTTGCTGCTCAGAAAGTAGAGGTGCTGCTGGGTCCTACTTACAACTACCGTGGTTTTAGAGGCTCATTTGAGGTTTGTGTCCATGTGGATACCCAGGAATTTAAAACTAGAAACCTTCTGCACCACTCCGTGTTGATGCAGTTGGCTGCAGATCAGACTTCCTCCTCTGGAAGTCAACAATTAGCTCCTTTGTCTTGGATTTATTAAGGACCAAGTTATTTTCTGCACAATATCCCTCCTCCCCTCCATCCCTTCTGAACCACTTCCCTGTGATGCTGTCTTCTTCAGACATAAGTCCTATAAAGGTGGTGTCATCAGTGTACTTGATTATGGTGTTGTCAGGGTATGTGTTGAGGCGATCTTGTACAGAGTGTAGAGCAGAGGACAATGCAAATCTAACTGATGTGGGATGGTTAATGGTGATTTTGTTACAATGATCTGAGAAGCTGCTAGGAGTTAGAAGATAAAGTCTGTTCAGAATGTGATCTTATGTCTTATGTAAGACAAATAGTTACAAAGGACAAGTTTGATTGTTGCTACTCGCTCAGGGAGAGATCCAGATTACGAGACTGCCCAAGCTGTAATATCTTATCTATTCTCTGTAGCTGTCCATCTTTGAGAGTTTTGTGTAATTGCAGAGTTTAAAAAAAGTTCAACTATGCAAATGCTATTTTACTGACCTTTCCTCTTTTTTACATATCACATGCACTCACAGAACTATTTAAAATTAGGTATTTGCAAGCACAAATAGCAGCAACAGTTCAGTTTCAGTTTTCATATTTGCATTTGTATGATTCTTTTTTCACATTCACACCTCCACTCCCCCTCATGTTTCTTTTTCCTTATCTGAAAAAAGGGATGAGCCTCTTGTAATTTTGAATACTGGAATTTTTTTAAGACACTTACATTTGCTTCATGCTGGTACTGCTTTTATCTAATCTGAGGCGGCTGTGGATGAGTGGTTAGAGCAGTTGTCTTCCCATGAGTCCCACAAGGGTTTGATTCCACCACCAGTCATATGTTGAAGTGCTCCTGAGCAAGACACTGAACCCCTCATTGCCTCCAATGTGTCCCATCAGTGTATGAATGTGATAAAGCTCTGATTAGTCTCTACAGATTCAGATTAGTTTTGTAGAGATCTAGTAGAGTGCTGTATGAATGTGTGTGTTGGAGGTAAATGAAGGCACAGATTGTGTTATAAAGCACTTGGAGTATCTTAATTAGATACAAAGGCACTATATAGGTACAGCCCATTTACCATTTATTTACCATCTACTGGCAAGTTTATAGCACAACTGTGAAAGCTTAAAATTGATCGAAACTGCATTTATCTGTGTTTTGGCTTTTCTGGCAAACTAGTATGTTTCTTCTTTTTCTTCTTTCCACATGTAGGATGGAGCGAGAAGTCTTCTGTCCTATATTGTTGCCTACTACCTCAAAAACTTTGACAAGGTACACATTTTCAGTTTCTGTGGCTAAATAAAGAATTATCTTTTCTTCTTTTAATATTGTATATGTGTTTATTACTCACTGCCAAGAGGTGAAGGCAGAGTTGATGTTTTTTGCCTGTGTCAGTGAGGGTTTTGGTCTATATCAAATAATCACATAAACCACTGGATGAATTTAATGAAACTTGCAGAAATTAATAATTTGATTAATTCTACAACTGATAAGGTTATGCAGTCAGGCTCATTCAAGATGCCTATCACAGCAAACTGACCTTAAAAAAACATACAGACAACTTTATAATTGTCAGTTTTATAGATATTAGCCTAAAGTTTGATGTAGTTGTATTTGAGAATCATTCACAACAAATAGTGCTTCTTGTTTGAACCCTTTGCTTAAACTTTAGCATTGACTGTTGGTGTCAACTCTGTGTGTTGGCTAAATGTCTTGTGATCGCCCTGGACAGGTTTTTAATAAAATCTTCAGAAATAAATGTTGGATGTACATTCATCCATCCATCCGTCCATTATCTTCACCCACTTCTTCCTTTTCAGGTTGCGGGGGTCACTGGTGCCCATATCCAGTAGTCACTGTGTAAGAGGATGTACATTGACAGTTGATGAACTTTTGGAGATAATCCAATTCAAAATGTTCACACAGCTAACTGACAGGCTCTAACTCAATTCTGTGAATAGAATAAGCCAATTCACTTAATATTCAATGTGAACATTAAAATGGAATTTGATGTGCTAGTAGCTGAAAATCATTCACAACATGACTGCGGCATCTGCAATATTGTATGACATTGTTCATGGTATTGCAGACTCAGTGCCGATCCGTTGTGGTGAAGAGGGAGATGAGCTATGAGGCAAAGCTTTCTGTTTACCAGTCGGTCTATGTTCTTGCCCTCACCTATGGTCATGAACTCTGTGTAGTGACCGATAGAATGAGATTACAGATACAGGCGGTTGTAGTGAGTTTCCTCTGCAGGGTAGCTGGACTGTCCCTTAGAGATAGGGTGAGAAGTTCAGTTATCAGGAGAGACTCGGAGTAGAACCACTGCTCCTCCACATCGAGAGGAGCCAGTTGAGGTGGTTTGGACATCTGGTATGGATGCTTCCTGGGTGCTTCCCTAGGGAGGTGCTTTAGGAATGTTCAACTGGGAGGAGACCCCAGGGAAGACCCAGGACACGCTGGAGAGACTATGTCTCTCGGTTGGCCTGGGAATGCCTTGGGGCCCTCCCGGAAGAGCTGGAAGAGGTGGCTGTGGAAAGAGATGTCTGGACCTCCCTGCTTATGCTGCTGCCCCCCGTGACCTGACTTTGGAATAAGTGGAAGATGATGGATGGATGGATGGATGGATGTTCACAGCATTATCTCAAAAGTTACACCAGAACAACTACATTTCTCAGTACAAGGTGATCTTAGTTCAAATCTATGGCATGGAAGATATCAGGTGACATACATTCTTGTAATAAGTGTGTATTTATTAACAGGATGCTGGCAGGGAGACGTGTGTGTTTCCGCTTCCTGAACCACATGACCTGTTCCAAGCTTCACATTTGAAGTTTGAAGACTTTCAGAAAGACTTGGCTCTGCTCCGAAAAGACCTGAGAGGTGACACAAGCTTCCATACATTGAGCTATAATCAATCATAAATGCTAACTGTCTTGAAATCATTTTAAACCTAATCATAGATTTATGGTTTTCCTCAATATTTCATTAGCATGTACGTCAGAAGTGGAAAAGGTATGCAAAGTGTCAGATGAGGACAACTTGCAACCTTTTAAAGACAGTATGGAGGATTTCCTTGAAAAAGGTAACTGACAAAGATTTTAAATCCATATGTGAGCAAAGGCACAGCTGTACGGGCTTTTTGCTAATTTGTCATCTGTGAATATGGGTGTGTACATTTGTTTGACCTCTGTCCTTCTTCTTTTGGCTGTTCCCTTTTCAGGGAATACAGCTAGTCATCCTCCTCCATCTCACTCTGTCCTCTGCATCCTCTGTCCTCACTCCAACTACCTCCATGTCCTCTCTAACTGCATCCATATATCTCTTCTTTGTCTTTTTCTTGGCAGGTGCATTTCTAACATCCTTCTACCAATATACCCACTGTCCCTCCTCTGGACATGTCCAAACCATCTCAGTCTGGTCAATCTAATTTTATTTCCCAGTCCTTTGACCTGTGCTGTACCTCTGATGATAGAATTCCATATCTTATCCATTCTCACACACAAGGAAAACCTTAACTTCTTAATTTCTGTCACTTCCAGTTCTTTCTCCTGTTTTTTTGTCAGTGCCATTGTCTCCAAACCATACAACGCAGTTAGTCGCACAACTGTCTTGTAAATCCTCAGGCTGTTTCTGTGAGTAGCCAGTCAGCCATCTGGCCAAAGACATTTGATTGTTACACATGATGACTGCTTGTTTTGGGCGAATGGGTCCTTTTGCATATGTTAAAAGCCTGCTTCTGAGATTTCAACAGGAGGTTGGCTTGAAACACAGCAATGAAGACTACTTATGGGACAGATCTGGTTGGCAGGCCGCAGACTGATGAAGTCTTCCGGATGGAAGATGAAATGTTTCTCCCTCAAAGAAACTGGTCCAGATGAAATTATTTAACCTTTTTTGTTGTCTTGTAAATCTTTCCTATGACCTTTGCAGCCACCATTTTGTCACAAATCACTCCTGAAACTTTGCTCCATCCACTCCATTCTGCCTGGATTCTATTTTCACCTCTTTACCATGCTACCCCTTTTCCTGGACAGTGGACCCCAAGTACTTGAAGTCCTGCACCTTTGTAACCTCTGCTCCTTGTAGCCTCACTGTTCCACCTCCTCCCTCTCATTCATACACATGGACTCTGTCTTACTACGGCTGACTTTCATTCCTCTTCTTTCAAGTGCATACCTCCACCTCTTCAAGTTCTCTTCCACCTGTTCCCTGTTCTCACCACATATCACAATGTCATCTGCAAACATCATAATCCACGGGGATTCTTGCCTGACCTCATCTGCTAGTTGGTCCATCAGAGCAAACAAAAATGGCTCAAAGCTGAGCCTTGATGCAGTACCACCTCTGTCTTGAAGCCAGGCACTGGTGAAGCATCAGCCTTCTCTGGAAATGTTTTATCAAAGCACCTTAAGTTGTTGACTGATTGCATAAAAATGCAACACAGAACATTATTGTAGGTCTTTCCTGGCAGCTGACAGCTCTATAATGAACACTGAAGACATGTACATGTAATAGAGACATGCAATAATATAATAGAGACATGTATGCTATTAAATGTACTCCTCTACATTGGTGTTGATGTGTGTATTTTTATGCACTATTGTTTTAAACATTTTAAAATATATAATTTAGCATTAATATTTTAGTATTAATCTTTTGATGCTGTTGTCTGTGTGTGACATTGCTGCTGCTGTGACCTGCAAAAGATCAATATAGTATCCATTCATACATCCATCCACTCCTACAGCAGATCTCACCACTGTCCTGATGTCCTCATATATGCATTGTACCAGTCAAACATACTGACCCCAGAATTCCTCATACAACACCACAGCTCCTCCCTCGGCACATTGTCATGCTTTTTTCAAAATCAACACAAACACATTGAATTTTATCCTGACCCTCTCTGTTCTTCTCCATCAGCATCCTTAAAGCCAATATGACATTTGTTGTGTTTTTTCTTGGCAAAAAACTCATACTGATGCTCACCACCTCTTTTCTAAGTCTAGCTTCCACACATCTTTCCAAGATCGTCATCATGTAGCTCATCAAAGTCATTCTCTTATTATTGCTACAACTCTGTACAACATCCTTGTTCTTAAAAATTGACACCAGCACACTTCTTCTCCATTCCTCAAGGCTTTCCTCACTTTCAAAAATTCCATTAAATAAAAGTCAAAATCTCACTGTCCTCTCTCCTAGACATTTGCATTACTTCACTCATTGGGTCCAACTGTTTTTTTTTCCTTAGTGATTATCCTCTGAGTTTTCCCTAACTTTATCCTCACTAATCTGTTCCATTTCATCCATTCATCCATCCCTCCATTATCTTACGCTTATTCCAAAGTCGGGTTGCGGGAGTAGCAGCTTGAGCAGGGAGGCCCAGACTTCCACAGCCACCTCTTCCAGCTCTTCTGGGAGGATTCCAAGGCATTCCCAGGCCAACTGAGAGACGAAGTCTCTGCAGCGTATTCTGGGTCTTCCCCAGGGTCTCCTCCCAGTCAGACATGCCCGAAGCACCTCCTAGGAAGGTGCCCAGGAAACATCCTTACCAGATACCCAAACCACCTCAACTGGCCCCTCTCAATGTGGAGGAGCAGTGGTTCTACTCAGAGTCCCTCCCAGATAACTGAACTTCTTACCCTATCTCTGAGGGAGTGTCCAGCTACCCTGCATAGGAAACTCATTTCAACCGCCTGTGTCTGCAGTCTCATTCTTTCAGTCACTACCCAGAGATCGTGACCATAGGTGAAGGTAGGAACGTAGACCGACCGGTAAACAGAGAGCTTTGCTTTGCAGCTCAGCTCCTTCTTCACCACAATAGACCGGCACAGAGTCCATTTCCATTTCCTGGCCCACAACTTCTGTGATCTCTACTCTTCTTTCCTTTTTTGATTAGCTCTTCAAAGTCTTTCTTTTATGTTTTAATCTCACTCTTGTCTTGTAAGAATATCACCATTTCTATCTTTAAAAAGCCAAACCTGCTGCACATCCTTTCCAGCCTAATCCCTCTGTCTAGCCAGTCGATACATGGCCTTCTCTCCGTCCTTAGTGCCCAACCTCTTGTGCAACTCCTCATACGCCTTCTGTTTTGCCTTTGCTACCTTCCTCTACGCCCTATGTTGCATCTCCTTACATACAGTATCCTCCTATGTTCCTCCCTCTTTCGGAAATTGATGTTTTCTACAGCCCTTTCCATCCTCTTGGTAAAATCCACCACTGTATTTTTTTCTGGTCCTTTCCTCATCTTCTTAGTTATTATCATCAACATGTCCATTCAGTTATGCTCCGATCACCACTCTCTCCTCCCTAAGAATGCTCTACTTTGTTTTGATCCTTCCAGAACTTCCCATTTTCTTCTAACTTGCATCCAACCTGTCGAGCATAACCAATGACAATATTCAACATTACATCTTTAATTTCTACCTTCAGAAACATCATCATATCTGACATGCTTAAACTTTTCTGACACAGCCTAAATCTTAAATCTTAGAATATCTAAGATTATATATCTAATATCTAATCTTTACTCAGCACATACCTGTATGACAGTTTAGGTCAAAATACTATCATTTTAAAGTCACAGTACTATAGTTCATAATTTCCTATCTGACAACCCAACTGACATCAAAACTACAATGTTTTCGTGTCAACCCGCTAATTTTTTTTTTGTTTACTACTCCCAATAAACATTGAAAAAACACTAATGTTTCCAGAGTTTGTTCTTGTGTAAACGGGCCTTATAGTTGTCATGTTGCGGTGTATGGTTGAACCCAGAGTGCAGGTAAGATGCAGAAAACTCAAAGGATAAATATCTAAAACTATCTATTTACAAAAGAAAAAAAAACAAAAAGCTGATGTGGCAGCAAAACTTAGAAATAACACGTGGAGAGATCACAAGAGGAGCAGAAGCAGACCATGACACCATAGGGAGGATAATCCTTGGACAGAGCATCAAAGACAAGACACAGGATTTATAGGGACACTAATGAGGGGTAAACAAGAACAGCTGGATGAAGTGACAGATGAACAATAGTTAATTAATGGAGGGAAAATATGAGAGTCTGGCTATATGAAAACAAAAAGACCACACGAGGGCAGCACACACCAAGGAAACAATCCTCACAATAGTAGGTACATCACTTTGACTTGGTCATTTTAAAAATAGCTCTCATGCTGAAAAGGTATGGGTACCCCTGGTGTAAACAATTACTTAAGTTAATTAAAAGCTACCTAAAGTTGTGCATAACTGTGGAACTATGGCTGCTTTAACACAGCTGAAAAACATCACCAATAGAAGAATGTAACAGATATATTGAATTTCCCGACATGACTGAAATCCTCTGTAGATGTGCAGCAACTTGTTTTTGACAATATTTAAAAACTGAACTTCTATGTTCTGCTAAGCTCCTGAGTGGCTCTGTGTTTACTAGTGGGGGTCAATCAATGGGAGCAAATGGGACAGAGCCCCATCTAAAATATGCATCTACCCCACAAAGTAGTTCCACCTAAAAATAATATAATGTGTATTCGCTACCATGGTAGGATCTTATATAACCACTTCTGTGGGGGCAGTAGAGTGTGTGGCTGTGAAAAGTCAATGGTTAAATCACTGGTTTAGCATCTGTGGATTTGATTCCAGCATGTAACATTTTATTTTAGTTTGTTTTGTTTTTTTTGTTTTTTTACCTTTTTGTGGGGATTAAATGTTATTTTATGTCTTTTTACTGAATTCTTACCAATTAACCTATGATACTTATTATTTTGCTCCCAAAAATTGTAGTTTTAGATTTAACATTTCAAGTCATGTAAAATGTGGGTTTATGAAGCATCATGGCATTATGTTTTACATTTTACACAATGTCCAAGTTTCATTAGAAATTGAACGTGTAGTCAACATGAGACAGAAAGTCATTGTGAGATAAGAGTTTCTAAAACATTTCTATTGGAATTTTTGGCTGACCGGCTTAGACTTTACTATAAACTTGTGTCATTTATTTATTCTATTGTCCTAACCCTTTAATTTATTCCATTTTTCTAGCTAAATGTGAGCTGGAGACCTTGGATATTCAACTTGGCAGCACTCACAAACTGTAAGACCGAACTCCTCAATTTGCTTTTTTATCACACTTTAACATTCACTGACTGCACCCAAAGGCAACATCGAAATGTTTCTTACATTTATCAGTGTTCAACTATAATATATTTTTGTAAAGTTTTTATTTCAACATAAAATTCCAATATGAAAAGTAGTGTTAAAGTGTGCATATCACCCATGGGCTTTTTCAATTAATTCAACCAATTAACAATTGTTCAAAAGGGTGTGTGGGGGGGGGGGGGGGGGGGATGGGAACTAGTACAGAAGACTGCAATACTTTAGTAAAGCCAATGTAGTAAAAACAACCTGAATTAAAGAACCAGCATTCTTGCGAATGTAAAACAAAAAGTAATTGTGTCTTTGGGTTATGTCAGGTTCCTGGAGCTCACAGTGTTCTTCTCTGTGAAACCTAAGGCAGGAGAAAAAGAAATCTCACCCCACACATTCTTCTCTGTCTGGCATGAGTTCTCCTCTGATTTCAAAGACCTGTGGAAAAAAGAAAACAAGGCTATTCTCAAGGAGAGGTAAAACATTACACGCTGCTCCACAGTCCCATTTCATTTTTGTTCCCATTATCTTATTTCTTATTCTGTTTTGTTGTTCTTCTGTTATTTCTTGTTTGTTCTTGATTATTTCAGTTTTCCTTCTTTCAGCTTCTTTGGGTAAAAAATCCAGTCTGTGTTGTTTTTTATGTCAGCTCCACATGAATTCAACCACAAAAGCACAAGAAATGCACTATAAACTTGTTAAGTGGAAAAAATGGCAGTGGAGGAACAGACAGGAGCTCAATAGTTCATGCACACTAACTAAAGAAAACAAAAGCTGCTAAAAAAAAAAAAAACAACTAGTGTCCAAGAAATGCATGAAGCTTTTGCCTAAAGCTGCTTTTGAAAATGCCTTAGAAAGCTTTGAAATGCTGAAATTTAGTTTTGTAGTTCTGTGAATTACAGAACAGAACCAAACAGAAATTCTCCTTCGACATGTTCTACATTCATCATGCATACACAAGAACCAACAATACAACATAATAAAAAACATATTATCACCATATAGTTAACACCATTAAGATGTGTCTATTTAGCTTGGTTCAGGTATGTTGACGACACCTGGGTTAAAATTAAATCTCAGGAAGTCCAACATTTTACTGACCACATCAACTCTGTGGATAAATACATCAAGTTCAAACGAGAAGATGAAAAAAATGGCAGGTTGGCTTTCTTGGACTGTGAGGTCTCAGTCTCTGATAGAGGACATTTGCAAACTGAGGTGTACCACAAACCCACCCACATAGACCAGTATTTGCAGTTTGACTCCCATCACCCTTTGGAGCACAAGTTAGGAGTCATCAGGACTCTGTACCACAGAGCAGACAGCGTCCCCACTAGCTCAGGAGCCAGGCAGAAGGAGAAATCCCACACAAGACAGGCTCTAGAGCAATGTGGATATCCTAACTGGGCCTTCCTAAAAGCAGAGAAGAAACCCAAACAGGACTCCAGTCAGCCAACAGGTGAAAAGGAGGAACTCAGACCCAGACCAGTGGTCATTCCATATGTTGAGGGAGTATCAGAGAAACTGAGA